ATGTTACAACTAATCATAGATCCCTTTAATAACATTTCTTACTCAATGGAAACACTGCAGTTGTGAAACTGTGTTTTTTCAACGTTACCAGAATATCGACAAAGCTTTGCACACATTTGTAATGGAAACACAGCTAGTGGTTTGCAGATCAAAGGTGTCCTTCAGATTTAATACAGTGATGTCATTGCTTCCAGATGGAAGATCCCAACCTGCTGGAGGAGTCCTCAGCTCTGATGGAGGGCAGTGAGGGGGGCCGTGGAGCTCCACTCAGGCTCGGGTAAAACAGAAGCACTGCATCATCCCTCTGCTCATTTTCTGTACATCTACTTCCTGTGTGTGAGGTCAGCCAGGCATGTTTTCAAACTGTATGATGAAGCAGAGTTCTTAAAAACCCATCGAGCACTAGAGGCTGGCCTACAGAGTGAGATTAACAGATTAGCTGCTATGTTAAGCTGAACGCCAACACAGGCTTTGTCTTTGTGAGCAAGTTGCTGAACCATGAAAACAAGTTCTGTCAAAGCTCACAGTCAGCTTAAGAAATCTTTTTGATCTTTTATTTTATTTATTTCATGCACTGTATTGATCCCCTGGTGGGGAAATTAATTCTCCGCATTTTACCCATCACATGTGAACACACAGGTGGAGCAGTTTTATGAGACGTGTAAGATTATTTATATTGTTAGCCTGAAAATTTGACTCAAATGAAGTAAAAATCTGCCAATAGAATAAGAAAAGTGCACCGGTCAGATTCTTGAAATAAGAGAAATTTGAGTCAAATTAAGTGTTTTCAGAATCTTACTAAGTGCAGTTTTCTTACTCCATCAGGCTAACAAGATAATTAATCTCACACGTCTCAAAACATGATCAACTAAAATCACTCGGAGAGTGCAAACCTCAGCCAAGGCCAATTTCCCCATCCTACAGTAGAGTTAATGCACAAAAGCAGAGATGGAAACACATATGCAGAATAAGGTTCGACATAGAGAACATTTAAGCAGGAACTATAAATGGGATTTATTCCCGGTGGAGTCCAACGTGAAAAAAAAAGTCAGAGACTCGTCACCTGACGTTACTCGTCCACAAACTGGTCCTGGATTAAGCTCCAAAGTTTTCATCAGTCAGATTCCACCGTGTAAAACGTCTGTTTTATATAAGTTTTTAACTGACTATCTTTATAAACTGCTGCTTCCTGGTACAGTCGCTGTGGAAGTGACTCCTTTTTTTTAAGGGAGTGTTTGAAGCAAAATACTTTCAGCACAAACAAACACTCCCACAAACTTCAGACCAATCACACAATAAAGTTCTTATGTGGAGTGGGTACCGCACAAGGTTGATTAGCTGTTCTCACTGTCCGGTACCAGTCCGGTGTAACACTGGTACCAGCTTCGGCTGGACTGAAGCAGGACCCTCCTTCCGCTGTCGGTGTCTTCTGTTATTCACGTAACGTGAAGAGAATCACTTTTGTTTCTCTACGTCTCCAGACAGCAGTAACATCAACATTACTAGTTGACAACAGAATAATCACAACTTTCCTGATAGTGGACATCCTGGGAGGTGTAGTCCCAGTGAGTTTATAACTTCTACTTCCTGTTTCCTACAGGCATGCGTCTGATGTAATGACACTTTGGGTAGCCTGGCTTATTCGCTCGAATAAAAAAAAATTCCTGGATCCGCGTTGTGATCCGGAACATCACCAACACTTCATGGTGTGTTCCTTTGACCAGTACCCACATGTGGTAAAAATTACATGACAATCTGTCCACAAGTGTTTGAGTAATGCTGTCCACAGACAGACAGAAAACATTACCTCCTCCCTTGACGAAGGTAAGATTTTATTGTGGAGGAGTTGAAGCCAAATGACACCATTGCTGTCTGAGTGCTTTTATTTTAAAAAGGCCCAGGAAGTCAGGAACTTCAGAGTAAGCACACAGTAGTTTGCTCATAGTCCTGTTAGAAAAGGTTTATGTGAAGAAGAGGCAGATGAAGCTACAAGAACAACATGATGTGATTTTCATCAAGCAGCCACATCAGTGAGATCCAGTTCCTGGGTACTGAGGCCTGATTTCATTTAGTTCTTGGGTTTTAAGAGTTTGTGTGTCTGGTCGGAGCAGGTTTGTGGCTGGAGTCATCAGCAGAGAGAGGATTCCCACCTTTGAGCGGATGCTGTGGAGGGTGTGTCGGGGTAACGTCTTCTTACGAAAGGCAGAGATTGAAGACCCTCTGGAGGACCCCACTACGGTCAGCACCAAACCAAAAGTAGTTCTGAGTGGTAGTGGAACAAGAATTAAACAAGGTGTTGATTGTTATGCCTCTGCCTGCCTCAGACATGTCTGCCTTTGAGCAGGACTTTGTGCAGATGTCAGCGTGAGCATGTGTGCACAAACCATGCACTGGAGATTTTATCAGTGGAAACCAGGTGTTTTATTTGTATTGTTGAGGAATTAGAAGAAAATGCCAGTTTTATATTACCAATCATCATAAATGACCTTGACTGTTTTAAATAGGAAATTAAATTTTATTTGAAAAGAAATAAAATGATTATACAGTGTGATAATCTCTGTATATTTAAAGAGATATTTTAACTATTTTGAGTAAGAGTTTGTTCCAAGTTTATGAACAAGCAATATCTTACCTGTTTGATGGAGCCAATTGTGAGTCTAAACAAAGGCAAGACAAAAGTGGATTACTGTCATCTTCAAATGACGTTAATGTGGGGAGTGATGGTGGTAATTTATCATATTGTGTCATTGTTATTACTTCATAAAAGTTTAAATTCTTAAAGTTTGTTTGTCATATTCTTTCTGTACTGATCTCCTGAAATGTTCTGAAATGCCTCGATATATTACTGTACTTGATTTTTAACATACTAACAACATGTGTTGTTGTTTTTATAACAGGGGGACCAAGTCCACAAATCGGTTTTCATCATCTTTTTCCAAGGGGACCAGCTGAAGAACAGGGTGAAGAAGATCTGTGAGGGGTTGGTGTCAACTCATGAGCCATCTGCCTCTTCTGTTTACACTCTGGATTATTATTAGTGTTAGATTATCACTAATCTGTGTGTTAGAGTGTAGTTTGTGTGTTAACATGAAGTTTGTGTATTAACATGTGGTTCTAGAAGTTAATGTGTAGTTTGTGTGTTAACATGTAGTTTGTGTATTAACATGTGGTTTTAGGTGTTAACATGTAGTTTGTGTGTTAACATGTGGTTTTAGAAGTTAATGTGTAGTTTGTGTGTTAACATGTAGTTTGTGTATTAACATGTAGTTTGTGTGTTAACATGTGGTTTTAGAAATTAATGTGTAGTTTGTGTGTTAACATGTAGTTTGTGTATTAACATGTGGTTTTAGAAATTAATGTGTAGTTTGTGTGTTAACATGAAGTTTGTGTATTAACATGTGGTTTTAGAAATTAATGTGTAGTTTGTGTGTTAACATGTAGTTTGTGTGTTAACATGTGGTTTTAGAAGTTAATGTGTAGTTTGTGTGTTAACATATAATTTCTGTGTTAACATGTAGTTTGTGTATTAACATGTGGTTTTAGGTGTTAACATGTAGTTTGTGTGTTAACATGCAGTTTGTGTGTGATCATGTAGTTTTAGGTTTTAACACGTGGTTCGTGTGCTATCATGTGGTTTTAGGTGTTAACATGTAGTTTGTGTGTTAACATGTAGTTTGTGAGTTAACATGTGGTTTTAGAAGTTAATGTGTAGTTTTTGTGTTAACATATACAGTGGTTTGCAAAAGTATTCATACCCCTTGAACTTTTCCATATTTTGTCACATTACAACCACAAACATAAATATATTTCACTGGAATTTAATG